AAAAAGATATCCGGTGATGGAAATATTTTTGAGTTGCGGAGTTGGATGTATAAGCACAGAGATGCTAACGGAGAATGATGAAATAATTTCTTGACGGGCTGGAGAATTTTATACATCAAGCATATTCTACACCGCTCACGCAGGAAAGCGGTAAGATGTTCTGTCCATGTCGAGAATGCAACAATACAAATTTTCCCCATGTGAAAATGATTGGAAGCATTTAGTAAATAGAGGTTTCACGCCACATTACTATATTTGGTTTTAACATGGAGAATGTTATAATTGTGGGAATGAAGCTAGTAGTAGTAATAACAATTTTCAGGATAAACCGGTTAATCATTTGCATAATGAAAATAGTTACCATCAAGAGGAGCAGATGGTATATTATGATAGGGGATATGGTAGCTTATGAAGTTTAAGAACCTAACATAGATGCAGATTTTTTTTAATGAAATGTTAGCTGCTTCGAATCAGCCAAGCTACAATGGTTGTAGAGAAGATCTCTCTAAATTATCGTTAGCAACTAGAATGATGGATATTAAAACTGATCACAATCTACCTGAAAATTGTAGGCAGACTCGTTTCAAGAGTATTGTCGGAAGACAAAGTGACATGTGATTTTTATTATGAGATTCAGAAATGGATTATAGTCTTGGGTTTCCTTAGGAGAGGATAGATGTTTGCATTGATAATTTCATGATTTACTAGGGAGATGATGATAAGTTAGAAGAATGTCTATCCTGCAAGAAGCCACGATTCAAACCGCAAGGACGAATGGTGAGATCACTCATCCATCAGATGCAAGAGCTTGGAAACGTTTTAATACGGTACATCCAGATTTTGCTAGAAATATTTGGAATGTGTATATTGAATTGTGCACAGATGGATTTAGTCCATTTGGAATGTCTGGGAGGCAATATTCATTGTCGTCAGTCATTCTTACGCCATACAACCTACCACCAGAGATGTGCATGCAACAGAAGTTTCTATTCTTAACCATTTTAATACCTGGTCCAAAGCATCCAAAAAGGCCTTTAGATGTTTTTGTACAACCACTGATAAAAGAGATGAAAGAATTATTGTCAACAAGAGAGGGTGAGGACGTATGATTGTTCAACGAAGACAAATTTTACGATGCGAACAATGCTTTTGTGGACCATAAGTGACTTTCATGCTTATGAAATGCTGTCTGGATGGACTACACATGGAGATTATCTTGTCCATATTGTAATGGAATGACATATGTGTTTCAATTGAAGAATGGTAGGAAGACATGTTGGTACGATTGTCACCATTGATTTCTTCCCATTAGCCATTTGTACCGAAGAAACAAGACATCGTTTAGGTACAAAAGGGTTGTAAGAGACACTCCTCCTCCATATTTAACTGGACAAGAAAATTGAAGTGCAAATCAATTACTATAGAGCTGAAAAAGCAGTTCAACGTGGTGGTTAAAGTCATGTTCCCGATAATATGTATGATTATTACGGAGTTCAGCACAACTGGCACAAGAAGAGTATATTTTTGGAATTGCCATATTGGAAGGATCTTCTTTTGCGCCACAACCTCGAGGTGATTCATATAAAGAAGAATTTTTTTAGAACATCGTGAATACAATATTAAATGTCCAAGGGAAAAAAAAGACAGCATGAAATCAAGGTTGGACTTACTTGATATTTGCTCAAGAAGTGAGTTACATATAAAAGGCAATGGAAAAGTTTCAGTTCCGATATTCAGATTATCATTAGAACAAAAGTTGGTGTTGTTCAACTAGGTGGTATCTGATGTCTTGCATATTTCCATTGTTTTATCCATTCACCCATATGCATTTTGATCATATAGACTAGGATTTAGTCATTTCTAGGTTGCATTTGGCATACATGAGTACTTATCGGGTAATGGAGTATCCTTGGAGTTCTTGGAGGTGATTGTATGGATTTAGGGTCCAAAAGAGGAGTTAGAGGTGATTCTTGTACGAGCAGAGGCCCGAACAAGGTTCCAGAGTGACTCCCTGACGTCGCTCCACACCAGAGCGACGTCCAAGATCGCTCCACGCAGTCGCTCCAGCCCTTGAACAAAGAAGCAGCCAAAGCGACCTGACAAGGTTGCTCCAATCCGGAGCGAGCACCCGCAGCGAGACCCTCTAGTCGCTCGCCTTTTTATATTTTCTGGAAGCCGAAGATGGCCTTGGAGCGACGTCCGGGAGCGACCTGGCCAAGTCGCTCCAGCCCCAGAGCGACTTCCCAGAGTGACAAGGCCAGGTCGCTGCGCGTTTATTTGTGACGAAAACTTGTGTAATTTTAAGGACCTTTTGGTCATTTTTTTCATGTTTTGACATTTGGAAAACCTAAGTTAAGTATTCTGTAAGCCTGTTAGGCAGATCTATCTTTCATTTTGAAGAGAAAAACAGAAAAACCTATTGGAAATTTATCTCTTTTGAATCGTTTTCATTGTTCTTGCTATTATGTTTAGTTTGATTGTATTATCTACTCATCTTACATGATTAAGATTGAATCCAATATGGGTTTAAGAGGAATCATGAGGATTAGTGAGTAATCCACCTTTGGATTCATGGGATAGGGAGATTAAGAGTGATTAGACTAGGATTGGGATGTTTAGCGTAAGTTTCTCTTGTTACGTGTACTTTACGATGAAACTTGCATTTATTTTAAGAGGACACTAACGTCGTTAGTTTGCAAACAGACGATATATCGAGGAAATATGCTTTACGACGGATGATTAACGACAAAATGAATTTCGAGGTTATTTCATCGTAAAGATCCTTTTATGATGAAATAACTATAATGTGCGATAGCAACAGAGCAGCTAGCCAATCAGTCGTGCCCGCCTCAGTAGACGCTACCCGCAACACAGCAGGCAACTCCTTCTCTACAGCTTGCTTACTTAGGAAGAGCAGCTACGCTAACAACCTAGCAAACCAACCTACGTATTTCTATCGTCATTAAGTATATGTTTTCTTTGGAGTGTTTACATCTGTATTTTGGTTATAATATATTCTCTCTTTTCTTTGTTAACCATATTTATATGATACATTACATTTTGTTATCCCTTATATATTAAAAGAGAAACATTGTAATAAATTCGTTCGCACCGTAACTGACACGTGTTGGCCTCACAATCATTTGTAATTAATGCGTTCACACACTAATTTTTTAATTATTTTTTTCCTACATTTTTAGCCTTTGTATTAATAAATTAAAAAAACTTTTTACGTGAAACTAATTAATAATATCTTTATTATAAGAAAATTACAAAATCATTAAGATTCGCATCAACTAAAATGTTGCGATGAAAATGTTTGTAGAAATTGAAAATTTCGTACCTTGCCGAAGTTGGTCATGGTTGAGGCTTCAGTACACAATAACAACAAATATGGTGATTGATTATGAATTAAAGAAATTGAAGTGAAAAACACCACACGTAACTCGGATCTTTAGTTTAGTCAAATATTAAATTTTTATAAAGTTTTCATATCAGACTAAGAATTAGAAATAAAATAAAATTAGTAGAAAAAAATCAGAAAGAAAAAAAGTTTTAAAAAATAAAAATCACAAAATCGATTAAAAAGAGAATTCAGGTACCAAATGAAGTTGTTACTTTGTAATATATATTATTTTTATTGTTTACGGGACAATTTGATTTTTTTCATATAAAAAATGTTATTAATTTTTAGTTTTGCTTTTATTTTACTTAATTTTATTTAAGAATTTACTATCATGTGTTATTTTGAACAAAAATGTTTTAAATCATAATTAACGGTATATTCATATATATATATATATATTTATCATATACATATATGTACACATTGACATGAGCGACTATATAACTAAATATTCACCACAAGTGAGAATTGTAATTCTTATTAAAGTTGAATTTTTTTAACGTTTTCTTTCACTATCGCTTAAATTGTATAGAAATATTTTTTGTTAATAATTTTATGTTATTTTTCTTCAAATATTATTTAGATTTTATTTTACATGTCTTTAGAAATTATAATAGGAAACTATTAGTTCGACATAAAAAGTGTATAACATTTATATAAAACGAAACCAAACAAATAACAATAGTTTTTGGTTATCATCGGAAAAATTAAAAACATCAAACATTTAAACCAAACAAACCAAAATAAATATAGATTTAGAATGATAGTTATATTTTAGGACATTAAAAAAAACGTAAAACTGAACCAATATTCATGTTAAACAAACATAATATCATTTTTATCTTGAAAGTAACAAAAATAATAATCTCATTCCGCGCAAGACGCAAATTATTACCTAGTTTTGTATTAAAATGCCAAAACATCTTTTAAAAAAGGATCATCACTTTATAAGTGTCAAATTTATTTACAAGTTTTTACAAAGAGTTATGAGAAGTCGTTTTCAGCTTTTATATATGGCATGAGACCTAAATAAAAATTGAATTTGTCTAACTACTCAACAGATCTCGCTAAGCAAACATAAATACCCATAAAGTCAAACATTCCAGTATCACATTTACACTTCAAATCTTATAATTTTCCCGATTGTTTTCGGGTGTCTTCTAGAACATCCACACATTACCAGAACCACCTCACATCCCATTTATTATCAAGCAACAAAGTCACGGGTTGGTTATAGAACACTAGCAAGAACCAATATGGTAGGTTTAAAAGCAGTATGAATATATGAAGTAATTAAACATATAAGGAGTATATATGAATTGATTAAATGGATTAATAAGAAGAGATAAAAGTCAACGCGTAGCCGAAGCTTTTAGATAAAAGAGGTCAAACATGGTAAAAGACCTGGTCAGACACGTCCGCGTTTCGTAAATGACCTCGTGCTAGGTCCCGCGTCAAAGCCGAACTAGTGGAGGTTGTTTTCGTCAAAGCAGGCACGCTTTTTACATTGGACCTCATCTTTTTTATTTTATTGTATTTTATTTTTAAGTAAATGAAAAAGAGAAAATCATAAATGTGTAAAAATCATGAAAATGGTTGTCATGTTCATCGAATCATTCAATACGTCTCCTCTCATTCTTCGTTGTCAAAATCCTCAAGAACCTTCTGACTTCGCTTAGCTTTTCTCTCTTAAGCCCCGCCGCGTGAAAACCTTTAACTCCGGGAAAGAACCGCCGCGATGTCTTTCCTCTTCCGTAAGAACGGGAGCAGTTCACGGAGACGAATCAAAGAAAAACTCCGTGGTCGGAAGTCAGATCGCGGGAAGAGAGGAGAAGAAGAAGAAGAGAGAGTCAGCTCCGATTCGTTACCGCCACCGCCTTCTCCTTGGGGTTTTCTCTTCCCGGAGGATTTCGTGCGAATTGACGGTAATCTCAAAGCAGTTATTGTAGATGAAGAAGGATTAGATGTGATTTACTGGAAAAAGCTTATTGAGCTTGAAAATAGCGGCAAAATTAGGAAAAACCCTAAACCTAGAAGAGGAGAGAAATCCGATGGTGGATTTAGAAGAAATGGAGCAGATAATTATGAAGGATTCTACGGAGGATCGGGTAGTAATCAGAAGGAAGATGAATCGATTGAAGAGGGGTTTTCGTTTCCTGTGAAGAACTCTCAATCTCATTCATCATCAGGTGGTGAAGTTGGAGATCAGAGTGCTAATAACGCTAGTGTTGATGGAGGGAGATACTACACTTCCTCTTCCTCTGCCTCACCATCACGACCTTCTTCTTCCTTTACAGGCGGAGGTAGTGATTACGGAAAACAATCCAAGTTTCAAGCTCCTGGCCGTGCCTCATTTCCCTCTTCTCCTGCGCGGATTCCGGCGAACCAAATCACTGGTGGCGGTGGTGGTGGTGGTGGTGGTGGTAGTGGTGGTGGTGGTGGTGGTGGTGGTGGTGGTGGTGGTCATTATCCTCCACTTCCGCTTCCTCCAGCTCAATTAGCTGCCGCAATTGCGTCGTCATCTGTATCGTCACCACCTCTTACAGTTAATCAAGCATTACCAAATGTCCCAGCTAACCAAACTTCACCACCTCTTCCACTAGCTGGGGCACCACCTCCAACGCCATCTGCTGGCGCGCCACCTCTCCCTCCACCGCCATCTGCTGGCGCACCACCTCTCCCTCCACCGCCATCTGCTGGCGCACCACCTCTCCCTCCACCACCTGTTCCGGCTAAAACAGCACCTGCACCACCACCACCTCCTCCTCCAGGTAAGAAGGCACCAGGCCCGCCGCCACCGCCTCCAATGGGGAAGACTGGGCCACCTAAACCGCCAGGTAATGGGAAAGGACCGGCCAAGGCGGCTGAGAGTTCGTCAACCATAGGCAAAGAGGATCCGACGCAGCCAAAGCTCAAGCCTTTGCATTGGGATAAGGTTAACCCTGATGCTAGTCACTCAATGGTGTGGCATAGGATCGATGGTGGCTCCTTCAAGTAAGCATTTCATTAGAGTCACTGAAGTGTATATACAATCTAGAATGTGATTAAGTACTGAATGATTATGAGTTCTCATGGATGTGTATTTGTTTCTTGGGTTTAGCTTTGATGGTGATCTCATGGAGGCTCTGTTTGGATACGTTGGTGCTCGGAAGCCAAGTGAAGCAAACAATGTACCACAGAAACCGACTGTTTCAATTACGCAGACTTACATTCTTGACCCTCGGAAATCTCAGAACAAAGCAATTGTGCTTAAATCTCTGGGAATGACTAAGGAGGAGATCATTGACTTGTTAACAGAAGGCCATGATGCTGATCCTGATACCCTTGAGAAGCTTTCTGGTATAGCCCCAACGCCGGAAGAACAGACAGAGATCATAGAGTTCAGTGGGGACCCAACTAAACTTGCTGATGCAGAATCTCTACTGTTTCACATCTTACGAGCAGTTCCTTCAGCGTTTAATCGGTTCAATGTCATGCTCTTCAAGATTAACTACGGTGCAGAGGTTACTCAACAAAAGGGATCTTTACAGACACTTGAATCCGCGTGCAACGAGCTCCGTGCTCGTGGGCTATTCATGAAACTTCTAGAGGCGATCTTGAAAGCAGGTAACAGAATGAACGCTGGAACCGCTAGAGGAAATGCTCAGGCTTTCAATTTGACAGCTCTAAGAAAACTGTCGGATGTGAAGAGTGTTGATGGGAAAACTACTTTACTTCACTTTGTTGTTGAAGAAGTTGTTAGATCTGAAGGAAAAAGGGCTGCAATGAGTAAGATCTCAACTGATAATACAGATGCATCTAGAGAAGAACAAGAGATTGAATTTGTAAAACTGGGTTTACCCATTATCGGTGGCCTGAGTTCAGAGTTCACTAATGTGAAGAAAGCAGCTGGAATTGACTATGACTCGTTTGTAGCCACGACCTTAGCTTTAGGCACCCGACTGAAAGAAACAAAGCGGCTATTAGACCAAAGCAAAGGGAAAGAAGATGGGTGTTTGACAAAGCTGAGATCTTTCTTTGAATCGGCAGAGGAAGAACTGAGAGTTATTACAGAGGAACAGCTGAGGATAATGGATTTAGTGAAGAAAACCACGAATTATTACCAAGCCGGAGCATTGAAAGAGAGGAACCTGTTTCAGTTGTTTGTTATAATCCGTGATTTCTTAGCGATGGTTGATAATGCTTGTAGTGAGATCGCAAGGAATCAACGGAAGCAGAGACCAGCAGTAACGGTGGGAGAAGCATCAAGTTCAACAGCAGAAGCAACAACACCGAGAGCTGCTGCACCGCAAAGGAACGCGGTGAGGTTTCCGATTCTGCCTCCAAATTTCATGTCAGAGCACTCAAGGTACAGTTCAAGTGAGTCAGACTCAGATTCTTGATAAGAAAAAGAAAGATTCTTTGCTTTTGTTATATGTATATAGATGTTAGGGGAGCTTGTTGCTTTCTTAAACAAAAAGATTCTTTAGGTTATTCGAAAATGGTTCTTATGACTTTACTTCTTTTGTTGTTGATTTGAAAAGTTTATTCTTTTTTTTGGAAGACGAGACTTGTGACAATTGGTCTTTGTTTGTATTTCATTTGTTTTAAGCTCTATTATTGGATATCAAATTTCTGATAGAACAAGAGACTCCATTAAAACTGATTTCGCATTTTTGTCTTTATCGACAATCAGAAGCAAACTTAAATACAGACACAAAAGGTTCACAAGAATCACATGATGCTCTTTATGTATGTAACAGATACTTGGACAATAAAACTCGCAAAGGCCTTGAACAGAGTCTCTGCCCAAAAGATATTTATTTCATAGCTTCCTATCAAACCACTTTGTCATGCCACGTGGCAGTTTAACGAACAAGAGCTTCATGGAAGCGCAGCTTTGACTTCTTTTCTGTCAGGTCCAAATGACTGGCCAACAGAAAGAAAAAAAGGTCAACAATGAAGTTCATTAAACATAACGGAGAGAAGTGAAGTGGGAAAATGTGTAATTTAGTAAGTACCTCGGTACCAAATCCCTTAACATACACATTGGTAAAAAGCTCAGAAGGCTCTGGCATTGGGCAATCCTGAAAGAGATTCGACCCGTAATGTGTCTATTGCTTAGCTGAATGAAAGGGAGAAGAAATGTTGACTCTTATTATTACCTTAGCTTTGGCAATGGCGTCATCTACTTCTTTCCTGATTTCCTTCTCCATATCCTGCAAGAAAGCACATTCTTAGCGACTTGGATCATAAACCAAAAATCTGAGAATTGTTGTTTTGATGATAGAGAATAACAAGGGTGAAGAAGGAGGATCAAGATAAAATACCTTAAGCTCCTTCTCAGTTGCTAGGTCATGAGAGAGTACCAGCTTCTTTATTCTCTCAATTGGATCTCGTTCCTGAGTCATATGAATAGCACATTAACGTTGAAATTCACAGTAACTAAGTCGTCCACGGGCTCTGCGCAAGTAAATAGACTAACGAACCTGTCTCACACCAGATATCTCATCTCGTGTACGGTATGTGCTCCCAGGGTCAGACATGGAGTGACCATGGTACCTGTATGTATCCATCTCAAGAATCTGTATACAAGAAATGATGAATCGATTCTCAAGTAATTCATTTGATGGGAGAAGAAGGAAACGTTAGCAAAAAACTGGCAAGGCAAAGCTATTACTATTTTATATCCGTAAATGCATTAGCAATGCAACGGTTCTTTGATGTTCAGTGTTCATATGAGTCATTTCTAAACATGTGAAGTTGTGAACTGTAGAGAAAATAAGAATCAACGAACCAAGTTGTCTCCCCATAATCCCAATAATATTCAGATACTGGAACTTTCAACTAGAAAACGCAAAAGGAAAACAAAACGTTTTCCTCCTAGGATGCAACGTCCCAATGGATAGCTACGTAAGATATTGTTCAAACCAAATTGACAAAATGTGACGGATGACAAATAGAAACAACAGAAAATGTGAGAGAAGCTTACTATAGGTCCATTCTTCAAGGCATGTTCCTTAGCAAATTTGCACGCTTGTTTGACAGCAAATGCATCCATACCATCTACCTGTTCATCCAAAAAATAATAATTCCAATTCAGAACCCAATCAATCTCAAAACAAGTTGATAACAAAAGCAGAGTACAAGAAACCAAATGCATGTCAGCTTTAAACAGATAGGATACTGAATCAAAATTGACTGTAGCAAGCTACTTATACTAGCAACCACCTGTTTATCCACATGGAAACTAAGCAATTCATGTGAATCAGGAAACACTAATCCATCCGCTAATAGAAAAAGAGACCAGCACGCCAGTAGATATTTCTAACAAACTCTTTAGTACAATGCATATGAGAATCAGTTCCTAATCAGTGAACAGGAAGTAGTAGAAAATACACAACTTGTAAGAAGCTAGAATCTTACTTGAAAGTTCAAAGATTAACCACACGAAAGTTACAGACTTTATATCTGCAAATGGTTCATAATACATTTCTAAGTCTAACAAAGTGAGATTTTGAAGCTTACTTTCAAACCAGGAACATAATCACCACGCTTATAGTAAGATGGACTCTTGGCAGCTCTCCACTCAGCAGTTCCCATCCCATCTACACAAACCACATTCACATCCAATAAGAAACCTAAAAGTAAATAATCAAAACAAACAAACAATTTTAAAAAAACGACTTAACAGTGATTGTTCTCGCAGACGAGAATAGCAGGCAAATCCCAAAGAGCCGAAATATTCAAAGCCTCAAAAAGCTGCCCCTGATTGGCCGCACCATCACCATACATAGCAAACGTCACCGCCTCCTCCTTCCCATACTTCTGCGCGAAAGCAATCCCACACCCCAACGGAACCTGAGCACCAACAATCCCATGCCCACCGTAAAACGACGAATCCTTCTTATAAAAATGCATCGACCCACCTTTCCCTCTCGAGCACCCGTCTCTCCTCCCCATAAGCTCCGCGAACACCTCGTACAGCTCCCCTCCCCGCCCCAGGAAGATGCAGTGGTCGCGATACGCCGTGATGATCGCGTCCTTTTTAGTGATCGCCGCCTCCATCCCGATGGCCACGGCTTCTTGTCCGTCGTAGAGGTGGCAGAACCCTCGGATTAGCTTGGCTTTGTAGAGGGAATCGGCTGCGATCTCCATGCGGCGCATCAGAGCCATGGTGCGGAAGAAGGTGAGGAGCTCCTGGGTGGAGGATTCGACGGAGCGGGAGGGCGGGTCGCATAAGTGGGCGGTGAAAGGGAGGGAGGTTTCGATTGTGATTGGTGTGGTGTCGGTTGAGATGAAACGGTTGAAGGCGGCGGAGAGGGGACGGGAGATGGTGTTGGATCGGGATGAGAGGCGTGATAGAGCCATTTCAGAGTTTTTTTTCTTTTTTTTGTTTCACTGCGAATCGGTTTTGTGAGAGACGATTCGAGTGAAGAAGAAAGATAATGATGATACAGAATTTACGAGTTCAAGGAGATATTTGATATGATATAGAGACTCTACATGTGTCTGAAGGTTTGCCACTCGCAGTCGCCTCATGCCAATCACGTGATACCTACAATTCACGATAACAACATTTTCAAATAATAATAACAATATTTATACGAAAATGTGACTAAACCTAGACATTAAAGACTAACAAATGTAAAATGAGAAGAAAATTGTAGTAATACATAACTCTATAATTTTTTCAACAAAAAGTTTGGAATAAAATAAAGACAAAATGATTATGATTATACCTCTAAATTATTTTTATTTTTAAAAAAAATCAAAAGAAATCATAAATAAAAATTATACAGTTAATTTATTTAACAAATATCTACGACAGATGAAATTCTGTTGAATTGTTGAACATTTATATCTTCACATATACACCGCATAATAGACTATATGATTTGCAATTTATTGAAGATTTTCTATTAAAATATGATTATAAATATATCGTGATTCTCTTTTTACTACCTAAATATTTAATTTCATCACTTTGATAATAATACAGTTATGTATTATAAAATATCTAAAATTATATTCACTAACATTGATAAATAAGACAAATCATATCATACCAAAGTAATTTAAAATTATTTATAATGAATAATCTAATTCTTTATTCTTTTTGCTAAGAATGTCAATATCATTAGAAAATAATGTAAGGGTAATACAAAATAGAGAACCTAAATTAGAAAAAAAAAATTATGGTAAAAGAAAAGAGAAAAAGAAAAACAAGGAAGAAGAGGATGATGTTAAGCCAGGTGGCTTATCCTATCCAAACAGAAATAACTTAATTCTTCTTTTTTTTTTTTAGCAAAATGTTACTTTCATTAAGTGGGTTAAGCAGAGTTTTGGGCTAGAACAGATGACGATAGGCATGCCTTAGCAAGCCCATCAACTGGCCTATTACAGATTCTAGAAATGAAAACAAAACGATAAGAAGCAAACGGAGAGTCGATGGAGAAGGCGAATTCGTCGATGTCGGCGAGAACCCCGAAGAGCTCCGTCGTGCACCGGCGAGTGGTGATTGCTCTTACGAGCACTTGAGAGTCTGTTCGAATACAGATATGAGAGTGGTTGAGGGACGCCGCCTGAAGCAAACCTTCTCTGATGGCAAGGGCCTCTCCCATGCAGGGAGATGAGACATGATTCTGGTAGCTAGCGCCTCTGGAGAGTTCTGTTCCTTCGTGGTTGGTGAAAATCCAGGCCAAACCCGCCGCTTGTAGATCCGATCTCCAAGAAGCATCGGTATTACAAAACACAGTGTGAGGGTTGTTTGCGGGGGGTTGAGGTGATGGTGGGTCCATAATCAATGAAGCAGGGGAACTGGTATGTGCTGTCTCCCATTCTTTCTTGATTAAGATGGCCTTAAGAGCTGGAGAGGCTGCTGTGATCTGCCGATTTTCGAAGAGTAGCTGATTTCGAGCGATCCAAATTGTCCAACAAAACCAGGGTAAAGCATTACCTAAGACGCCGAACGGCGGGAGTGGGATTAGAGAGCTTGAGGATTGGAGTTTTTCAAAGAAACATGAGTTCGGAGATAAGTCGAGGAGCGTGCTCCACGGTCCAAAGCTCCACACTTCTCTTGCAAATTGGCATTCGAAAAAAATGTTTTTTATTGTCTTTGTGGCTCCACATCTCTTACATGTCGTGTTCAAGAGAAGGCCTCGTTTCTGAAGGTTTTCCCCTGTTGACAGAGCGTTTGCTCCTAACTTCCACAGAAAGTACTTCAATTTTGGGGCAAGGGGCGGGGACCAAATCAGCTTTCTCCAGTTGCAGGTAGCATTTACCAAGAGTGAGTTAGTCGATTGGTTTTTCGCAGCTTGGATAGAAAAATAACCTGATTTAACTGAATATGATCCATCTTTTTGTAGGGGCCAAATATAGGAGTCATGTACTCCTAGGACGCTGGGACGAATAAAGAGAATGTGAGATGCTAGATCAGGAAGCAGGTTCTCCACTAATGTAGTATTCCACTCTCGAGTTCCTCTGGTTAAAAGGTCGGAGACCATGAGATCTTTGTCCTTAAGGAGTACAGGTCCAAAAGGTTTGAGGTTGGAGGGAGGGCAAATCCAAGAGTCCTGCCACAACGAGATGGTCTCTCCATTTCCTACGGCCTTGCTCAGGTGTTGGATAAGGAGGTCTCTTCCTAGCAAAATTCTTCTCCATCCATGGGAGATTGCTGGAGGAAGCTTGCACTTTTAGAAAGGAAGTTTTATGGCAGTACTTCCCGAAGAGGATCTTAGCGAGGAGACAATCATGATTAGTAATAACTCTCCATCCGATTTTTGCAAGTAAGGCCTGATTAAAGGCTTGTATGTCCCTAAATCCCAAACCTCCCAAGCTTTTGGGCTGTGTCAATTTATCCCACGAGAGCCAGCAGATCTTCCTTTCCCCATCTTTGTCATCCCACCAGAATCTGGTCAAGAATGATTAGATCCGCTTATAGAGGCTGACAGGTAGTTCGAAACAGGTCATAGCAATGGATGGAACGGCTGATAGTACCGATTGTAGCATTGTAGCTTTGCCTGCAGTAGAGAGGAATTGTGTTGACCAGTTGATAGCGATTTGTTTCATCATGTCTATTATCGACATAAATAGGTCCTTCTTTTTATGTCCAAAGTGCTCCGGTAGTCCTAGGTATTTACCAACTCCACCTTCTTTGGTAATACCTAACTGCAATTTAACTCTCTCTCGGGTTTCAAGTGGGGTTTTACTCGAGAAGGAGATAGATGATTTGAGAGCATTGATTTTCTGACCCGAGGCACTTTCGTAATTATGCAGGATGTCCATGAGGACCGAGCACGTGTGTGGATCAGATTTTGTGAAGATCATTGTATCATCAGCGAAGAAAAGATGGTTGAGCTTGGGGCTGTTACGAGATACTCTGATGCCTGGAAGGGTTCCATCTTCTTGTCCCTTTTTGCACAGACCAGACAGTATTTCACTACAGATGATAAATATGTAAGGAGACAAAGGATCACCTTGGCGAATGCCCCTCTATGGGATAACCTTTCCTGGTGCTTCATTATTGAAGAGGAATGAGTACGAGACTGTGGAAATGCAGTGCAAAACCCAATCAAACTAGGTTTGACAAAATCTCATTCTTTCAAAAACTTAATTCTTCTATGTTATATTTATCACTAGGTGGAGACCCGCGCCTTGCGCGGAGTAAAAATATATAAGAAATATAATTTGAATTTATATTTTATAGGATTTGGTGAAAAATGTGAGCCAAAGCAGATCAGTAAAAGTAGTGCTTAATCCAGAATGAATTTGGTTAATATTCGGACGGACTTAAACTCTGGTATCTAGAAAACCCAACGCGTACTAAAATATTCCGAGTAATTAAATATGTCTGGATCAGATTTATATACTTAAATATATTAATTATTTTTACATTTAATATAAAAATATATACAAAGTATATAATTTTTTTTGAAATTTTTTAAAAATCTTGAATATATAAAAATAAATAAATTTCTAAAATTTTAGCACACATTATTCAATTTTATATTTTATATATTATTTTGGACCTTAAATTATATATAAATTTTGAATTTTTAAAAATAATTTAAATGGATTTTCTGAACCCGAACCAAGCCCGCAAAGATCCGAAGCAAACCATATTATTTTTTATTTTTAGATTTTGAGAACCTAAAAGTATATATGAATTTGAATTTTTTAAAATAATTTAAACAGATTATCCAAAACCGAATCGAACCCGAAAAAAATCTGAGCTGAGCCTAAACCAATCTTTCAAAGATCCAAACTAAACCCAAGCCGGAATTGATAAATATCCGAATAAGACTAAAATTTTGAACCTCAAAATTCCAAAACCCGATCCAAATCCACAAAAATTTGAATATTTAAGTTAAACCAATTTTTATGTTAAGATTAGGTATTTTGGCACACATTATTCAAATTTATATGTTATATATTATTTTAATTTTTATATTTTGAGAGCCTTGAATATATATGAATTTTAAATTATTAAAAATAATTTAAACGATTTATCCGAACCCAAAAATATTTTAACCGAACACTAAAAAAAGCCACAAATATTCAAACCAAACTTGAAATGAAATATATAAATATTCGAATGGGGCAAAAATCGTTAACCCAAAAAATCTGAAACCCGGACAAACCCGCAAAGATCCAAATACTTAAGCCAAACCAATTTGTATGTTATGATTAGATATTTTGGCACACTTTATTCAAATCTATATGTTATAAATTATTTTTATTTTTAGATTTTAATAACCTTAAAGTATATATGAATTATTTTTTTAAAAATAATTTAAACATGTTATTTGAACCAGAACCAGAGCCGAACCTGCAAGAATCCGAATCAAAAACTTTAAATTCATATGAGACAGAAATCTTTAACCCTGAAAATATGAAACCCGAAACAAACTGATAAATATGTTTCATCTTCACACCAAAAAATTGAAGTTGATAGATTTTTGGGCTCTATTATTTGCGAGGGTTTGGTTCTTGAAACTCTGAAATAGAAAATTGTGATTTATAAGGTCTTCTAGTATTAGCGAACATTGCAACCAAAACTGAATTTAGTATATATTTCAAAATGTGAATGTTATAACTTGGATCTGAAGGCTTGATTTCTGGAATTTCTGGTTCACATAAAAATTTTGAGAACATATTTTTGTTTGTTGAGAATAATAGCAATGCATATAAATTTTGTTTAAATAGAAGTGTATGAAGTCCTAGGGTTAATGTGATTTCTAACCTATAACTAATAAACAGATATAGGTACTAAATGAAAATATATAGTTTAATCTTGATTGTCCATAATTTAAGCCTTATACATTTTCATTTAACTATAGGGATTAATTTTGGGATAATTTATAAATGAAAATATGTACCTTACGAATGTCAGAAGAGTATATTATTACTTATGCAGAGAATCAGTTCTTACCAAATTACACTCTTCTAAATAAGTAAAGTTTGAAATTAACGTGTCCAGAAAGTTTAGCATTTAAAAATTAACCTAGCAGTATATTTTAATTTTCAATACAACTTTCATATTAGAGCACATCGAGCTTGTTGATCTTGTTTATTTTATTCGTATAAATTGACTTTGCTGTTTAGTTTTGTATGCAAATTACTTGAAGAATGGAAGAATTATGCATAGAACAATTGAATGAAGTTGAATTTTTGGTTATTCATGTGTCTGTAATTTTATGATGGTCCATTGATACGAATAAACTATGCATTATGAAGGATATTGTTCATAATGGTTCAAGTAAGATATGCGTTGAAATTATTTAGAATTCATTCCAAAATATTACGATGTAGCTGAATATGATATAAGATATGGAAGACACAGTGAAAATTAGGAACACAAGAGAATTATCGTTTATAGGAACGTCACGTATTTGTTAATAAATAATGTCATGTATTGTTATTTAAAAATGTAAATATATTATATGGTTACCAATGGCATAATTTGTAATTCTTCTAGTAAATGTTGGTCTTTTAAATAACTTAATTGAGAAGGTCTCTAGTGATGACACCTAAGTTAAAATGGCAAACTTGTAAATAAAATACAAAACAAAGGTTAGGTTTTTAAAATGCTTCTTGATTAATAAGTAAGAGATATGCACCTTAAGCACCATAACTTCAAGGCATACTGAAACAGTCTGATACAACAAAACCTCTTTTTAATATGAGATTTTCATACGTGCTTTCAAAAACATAGAATTGTGTCTTTTTAATGTATCAATTTATTAAAACTGAAGTACCTTTTGGTACTGTTTTGAAGCAAGGATAGCAATAATAAAAAGAAGTAAGTTTGGAAGCATTAATAGCAGTATCTTTTTACTATTTCCTTTTATTTACATATTTAGCCATTATATTTGCAATAAATTAAATCTTTCCTTTTTGTATTTTCTTTTATTTACAGATTATACCACTACATTTAAAAGCAATTTAAACTAACTAATTACAATTCTAAAGTTGGTGGTATTATTGATAATATAAGAATATCAATTACAATATAGTATATATTATATAAACAATTTTTAAATATAGTATTACTTCATTTAATTTAATCAAATAAAAAAATTCTGAGAGTTCAATTTTCAAGAAAATAATATATTATAAAGTTAATACTAATTCATAGAAAATTAATGCAAAAATTTATTATTTAAAATAAATTAACAAAAAGAAATAACAGATTAATATATATGATTCGTACAATTACATTAATTTACAAAATTCTTAATTTAATATTATGTACAAATAAAAAAGTATTATCAAACATCTATATTTTAAAGTAATATATTTTATTCTATATGTAAATTATAAAATATAAAAAATTATATAGGACTTTATTTGATAAAATCATCCGTTGATGAATTTATCTTAAACACAAGTTATATCAAACACCCGCGCGGGGGCGCGGGTCAGTATCTAGTTATATTTTATAACATCTAATTTTGAAGGAAAATATAATCTGCTTTTATGAAAGTGTGGGATTGTTTTGTTTGAAATATTATATTTTTATAATATATAATTTCGAATGGAAAAAAATATAAATTGTGTTTTTCTGTATATATGTAATAGTTGTTTTATATATTTAGGATGATATTTATTATTGAGATATCAAAACATGTATTAAAAGGGGAATGAGAAGCCTTTTGGGGCTGTCCACGTCGACAATTTTAATCGACCAATCAGCTTATTTCGTTCATCTACGTCACTTTACATACAAACATAAACTCTTTGGGCTTTAGACTTGCAGGCCCGTATGCTGTTTTAAAATTTCAACCCAAGCCCATCCACTTATGGTATTGGCAAACCTACTTTCGACCAAAAGTGGTACGTTCCCCCATTCAATTCACGATCCCTAATTTGCCTCCACCCATCGTCGACTTTAGCCCTCCCTCATCTGTCATCGTTTTTTATCTTAGCTTCATCTTCCTCTTCACTTCTCCACCCCCTTTAATTCCTTTAAATATCTCTTAGACGGATTGTTTTCTCCAGTAAAAATGTATTTGATTCTTCAATATATTATTATACTGAGATGTCGGAGTCCGGTGTTCACAAATTGATGAAGGAAAGTACCAAATCGGCGAGCTCTTCCTCTGGTCAGGGCAAACTCATCGGCAGGAGAGGAGTCTCATCGGCCATCTCCACCGTCGTTAGGGGAACGATTCCTCTCACTCGAGGCGATCGAGGAAAAGCTATCGCCACCAATGTTTTTGGGCCAGTGATGTCATTCAAAGAGGTTTCGTCGGGGCCCCATGAAGGCGAGGTTAGATTCCAGTTGATCCACTTCTGGGAGGCTCGGAATACACGGTCGAAGGTGCTTATCGGCCTTGAGATGCTCCTCATAGACGAAGAGGTACAACACAAAAAAATTTTAATCTTAGTTTACAAATTGTTACTTCGATATGTAATTCCCAGCTTACTTTTTTAAAAAATCAAATCCAGTTAGAATACATGTGTGACGGTCTCAATAATTCGGACTAAATTAAAGCATCCGTTTAAAATTTTTTTTATTCATTGTTTTTCTTAAGTTGGTTTCCAAAACAATAGCTTACACATTATAGCCACAGTAGATTAGTAATACGGTTTGGATCCGTACACTCAGTGTGTTATACGATCAATACTTTTTGGATCTCAGAAAATTCAATTATGACAACTTTAGCAACAAGATAAACTGAATTATATGTAATCGGTTAAGTTTTGAATTCTTTTTGGATCTCAGAAAAATTTAAATATAAAAACTTTAGCAACAAGATAAACTGGATTATATGTATTCGGTTAAGTTTTGTTAATTATATCTCATGTATGTTTAAAAAAAAAACTCTCTACCTACTCTAATTAAATTTCTTTTACGTTATCAACAGGGAACTGTGATCCAGGGGTTCATCCCTGAAGGTAGGATGGAGACTTATTTGCCACACTTGAAAGTTGGTGCCATTTACAGTCTCAACAAGTTTTACGGCTCCAGCAACAAGACTTTGTACCGGGTTACTGAACCAAGTGTCACTATAACCGTGTCATGGAAATCTGTTCTCTCTGTTCTCGAGAACCCTACAGCTCATTTTCCTGAGGACCGGTTCAGGCTCCATGGATACAGAGAATTTGAAGCTGCCTCAGACCTGAAAGGTGATCTTCATGGTAAGTTATGGCCATTTAAAAATCCCATCACTTTTATATTGCATAATGTCTTCACTTAGTTTAACATGTTATTATCCTTTATATTCTAAGCTTATGTGATGTAAATCATTCATTTTGGTTGCTGGCGGTTGCAGATTATGTTGGTCATATCAAGCTTGTGAATGGGCAGGTTCCTTCCGACCAAATTGTTCTAGACGAATCCGAGATAGCTTCCACCCGCATCGTTTTGCTTCATGTTCAGACACATGAGTAAGCACTTCTCTATCCTATTCCATATTCATTTGTCGTATGTCTTACCATACTAGATTGGGTTGTTGCAGTGATCCAGTGATGAAACTTTACCTATAGGACCAGGCTGCGTCAGACTTTGTAGGAAAATTTAAGTCAAGTGGAAACACTGCCAGGGTTATCTTGGTGACAGCCTTAAACCCGAAACGGTTTGGAGGTTTGTTTTCTAAGTCCTGCTACCTCTTCATGGCTCATTTCTGGTTAGGTTAGCTTATAGTGAGTATTATCCATGTGTGACATAGTATTGAGTGTTACTGGTTCAAGTTATATTAGGGGAAATTGCCAGAAATAACACTTTCAAGATACCACTTTTCAACTTTACACTAACCAACTTTACCTTTAAAATTTTAATAGTCAAAATACTATTAGAATTTAGGGTTTTGGATTTAGGATTGATAGTTTAGGGTTTAGTGTTGATTTTTTAGGGTTTAGGTTTTACTTTTTAGGGTTTAGAGTTTAGGGTTTAAGGTTTAGAATTGATATTTTAGGGTTTAGGGTTGATTTTTAGGGTTTATGGTTTACTTTTTAGGGTGTAGAGTTAAGAATTGATGTTTTAGGGTTTAGGGTTAATATTTTATTTAATATTTATTTTATATATATATATAAAGAACAAGGATATAAGAGTCATTTATCCTTTAATAAAATGTGTATTATTGAAAATGTTCCTTCGTTGATGGTAAACATGAAAAGTGGTACCACCAAAGTGGTATAATTGAAATTCTCCCTTATATTAGTTGCATTTAATGTTATTCCTACGTAACATAACCTTGAGTGTTACTGCTTCAACTGATTTAATCTGCCTTTAGTGTTCACTATATATGAAGTATTGAAAATAATATATGAAGAAATAATAGTCGATTATTCCAGATATGTCATGTTCTCTATATTTCATTTTATGGTGAAACTTTTCCTGTAATATAAATTTTTTAAATTCACAGGCATCCTCTCCCTATGCTGTATGGCTCCTTCCCGAGTGTTTATGGATAATGATGTAGAAGAAGCCCGGTACTACCTCAGTTGGTAAGGGTTAGAGCTTCTTTACAATCACTCAAAATATTAAGACTTTCACTATTGTAATTTTCTGTTTTACATTTACTTCAGGTTGAACACCCACTTAGATGTGGCTAACAGAGTTAACGCAGAGGTTGTCACCAAGCTGGAGACAGCCACTGTCGGGGAACTATTCTCCTATATGAAGCGGCCATCCGCTACGGTATAATATTAACGATGATAGTACTTGCAATAAGATAATCTAAAATAATCATTTAATGTTAAAATTTTTTCGCAGGATGCTTGATTTGAGTGCATTGCCACTATTGATGATGTTGTTAATGGGTTTGCGTGGTATTATATAGGGTGCGGTGTGTGCCATACGAAGGCAACAAAGGGCCCTACAACGCTAATGTGTATCAAATGTGGGAAGAGTGATATTGTTGGTGTCCCCCAGTAAGTTCTCTGCTTTTTAGTTATAGTTGTATCTAGACCGCCAAGGTTATTATTGTGTTTCTGTCACAGGTACCTGGCCAAGATTTCTGTTTATGACAACAATGACCAAGCTGTGTTTGTTCTACTCGGTGATGCTGGTGAAGAGTTGACTGGTAAGAAAGCGTCTGAGTTGGTAGAGAACTATTATGAGGTAATTTGAGACATGTATATCTTTTTGGTTGAAAACCGTTTTTGTATTCTGATAGATGTTTAACTATATATTAGGAAAATGAGAGTGTAGGAACGTCCCTGTGCCGCAGGCTCTGCTTAATACCATTGGAGAGACTCGGAAGTTCCGTGTGAAGGTATCAAGTCACAACTTCACCGGGAAGGTCCAGTCTTTAACTGTGATCAAGGTGCTTCCTCTTGAAACCCCAGTACCGGACACCAGTGTAGGTGAAAACGTGGACCAGGAAACAAGTCATGACAAGGAGGACCCTGCAGATGAGTTGGTGAAAATGAGCTCTGATGGGATTGTCTCAAGAGATGGCAAGCGTGCCAAGTGTGGCTAAGGAATTATTATTACCGGTTATGTTTTATTTTCTGATATGCTTTGTTTTTTACCTTTCTTAAACTTTGTCTTTGCATCATTTCAGCAACAGTGTTATCTCTTTTGCTACTAAATTCTATCTATAGATTAGTTGAAATTGGAAAAAAAATTGCATGCAAGTTATTAAATTATCTAGGGCAACAAACGTATATATATACTCAGTTTAAATAAACATCTCAACCCTTTATGAGATTGTTTCATGAAAAGGTTTTAGTTTAAAAAAAAAAAAATAGGCATGATAACAAAAAAAAAAAAACCTTTCACGTATCAAACCAGCACCCTATTCTACACTTTCAAAACACTTCAGCTTTGGATTGTATTTTTACAAAAGTTCACAATCCTTAAATCATTACAATGCCTTGGAAATTTAGGACTTCCTGATTGGGCTATCTTATTTTAATAGAAAATCTCATGCACGAAAGATATTGTACAAAATATCATTTAAAAAAAAAAAAATGACCCATCAGAAATATGATCACCCCAACAACAAAATTAAAAAGTGAAAATAAATAATTGGATCAACACAACTTTGAACATCATTATCAATTAAAATAAATATTTGATAACAAAAACTGAGACATCACTATATTATTAAACATGACTTACTCTTGATCTGATTAAATTTATCAATGTTATAAAATATATTTCACTTTCAATATTTCTATCTGAATCAACTTAAAAATATTATGGCATCGTAAAGAAGAAAAAAAAATGTGTGCTAAAAAAAAGAGCGAAAATAGAATCCGAGCTAATACAAAATATCTCATTTATTTGACTAAACCAATATTTAAATTATATATCTATACGAGCTAATACAAGATAATAAATTTTGAAGCATAACAAAAAACTAAAAAAAAAAATATTCCTATCAAATGTCTATATCTATAACAATATTTTGACAGATAAATAATATACCTATTATAGAAAGGAAGTACATGCAATTAAAAAAAAATACCCTACGAACATAAATTATAAATTAAAATAACCAATAATTAAAAACGAGGATTCATATAGATATAGATAAAGGACAAAGTCTACACAAAAATATTTAAATCTCTCCCACACCAAAAAGATATTTAAATTAAGAATTAACAACTCCCTATCACTTATCTACTATAAAATTCCTCATTATAAATATAATCAACAGAATTACAAATCCCAAAGAAAATACCAATTAAATAGATTTTGGCTTATAAAAAAAATAAAATAGGCTCCTAAAAATAATCACTATTTATCCGCGCGTAGCGCGGAAAACCCCATAGTAAAGGTAATAGTATATAATCTAATGCTAATTTACAATGTTTATATTTAGAATCGAGAAGTTTTGAAACGATAAAATATTAACTTTTTGTTGAAATTAAATCAATGCTATTAAAGTTAAAAAGTTTATTTTATAATTCTTCTGGTTTCATTATCGATATAATTAAACAAATTTAGTTGACAAAATCAATAAAATAATCTAATGAATAATGTATTATTTTTTCAAATATGTTCAATTTGTTATTCGTGTAGACGAAATAAAGTGATTTTAATTGTATAGATTCATATAACATTGTACTAAACAATCTGGACTTTGATGAATCCACCTCATAAGATATTGTATTGCTCGGCCCAAAATACACCTTATAAGTTTGCAGTGATGTTTAGAGATCAATGATACTTAAAGATTTACTCTTATAAGTTTAGTTACTCAAAGCTTGTGTCTGACAGTCTTGTCTAAATCTGTAATACTATTTAAAATTATTAAGCTTTCTTTATAAGCTTGTTGATAAAAAAAAAAGCTTTCTTTATAATTAGTGTTTAGAGTTTGTATATATGTTAGTGTTTAGGGTTTGTATAGTTCAGTGTAATCTTTCTATGGTTTACAGTATAAAGAATTATAGTTGCTGTAAACAGATATTGATAATTAGAATATAAGATTTTGAATTTCAAAGTTATTATAAATGGTCCTACAGTGTGATTGGTTTCTAAATTCCTTGTTTCAATTGGTTACTAAGTATTTAGTGGCGAGTTTTATTTTAAAACAATTTTAAAATAGATAGTGACATATTTTTGTAATTAACTTCAAAAATAAATGACAGAATTCTAATAAATTTGATTTAATAGTATAAATATCATTAAATGTCACAAAAATTACTTTAGCAATTTCATGCTTTTTTTAATGGATATAATAATAATGTTCCAACCGCCTATGACTAATAGACGTCTCAGTCCCGTTCATTCGGTCCGTGAACTTTATTCTATGCGGATCCAATGATGTAAAATGAGAAAATCTATAATTGGTGTAAAATCATAACAATATTCACGCAGGATTGTATTCCTGCAGAGACAGCGTTATACCAAAAACCCGTAGTCATGGTCGTTGTATTATGTATCAGTCAATGTGTGCAAGGAAATGAGGAATATTGGGAAGTCCAATATTTATACATTGTTGCCACAACTAATAATAATACTATTAAGGCTATCCATTTTCAGATAAGATTTTTCATCATCCAAAATGAATGACTAAAGATTAAAGAATATAGACCGATAGATGACGAAAAGATGAGAAAACTGAAATGAAAAAGAAAAAAAAAATAACATGTGTTCGAATGAATGAATAAAAGTCTCCCACTTTAGCATTGTCTGGTACATATATAATCTTCAACACTATACACCAAAACCGGCGGCTCCAGACGGTTGACATGTGAATCTCTTTGAGCCAAAAATGATGCGCGAATCTTATCAAAGACAAGTTTGGCCTCTATTCTCTATGCTTGCATATTTCAGCCCAAGAACTTTCACACCTGCACAACAATAGACAAGCATAGATCTATTTACGTTCATCTCGAATTAGAGAGTACGGATAATTTGCAACATTGATCACCTGATGAATAGTATTAAGGCAAGAAGTTGGGGGGGGGGGGGTACTTACGTGCTTGAAGCAGTTGTCAAGGCAAGGCAACAAGTCTCTGTTTAAGACACATGTGAAAACGCAATATCTTCTTTCTCGAGATTTCACTGCTACCAGGAGTTTTATCCTTGTCAAATCAATTTGGTTTCTTCTGCTTGCGTCTATACAGAAGATCTGATGTGTTTGGTTCATACTTGACCTAATAACAATTTGGAAGCTCTCATTAATCATATTCCAATTAAAATACAGAAAGATTATTAATACGATATAGAAAGTAATTTTACCTTGGAAGAACTGCAAGCCATCTTGCATTCGACCTCGTTGATAATCTTCAATCCTTCCATTGCACGCAACAACCCTGAAGATTCATCTGTACCACTCATTTTTGCCTTGTTCCTGGAGATAGCACATATTAAGATGATTACTATAAAATGTAAAAGGTAAAGCTATTATCATTGCTTCTTTTTTTTTTAATTCACCTCTTCAGAAATAGACCAGGCTTTTCTTCATCAGGTACAAGCGAAAGAAAGTCATTCTGCAGATAGTTTGCAAAACCTGGTTCCACTGCTACAGCTGTAACTTCAGGGTGATGATCGTTCCCGTTGTTCATAAGTTGAATCGCGAGACGGGTTTTTGCTGGTGACTGCATATATAGATTTTGCAAGGATACATTAGGAGCTTGTGAGACTACTATATACACAGGTGTCCGAAAATCTAGAGAAACATACATATTCGATCCGGTATATGTTCTGCTCATGGAGAAGGGCTCGTGCATTCTCATGGTACACTATATCAAAAAACCTTCCTGGTTTTTTGTAGTTCTCATATGTGTATAGTTGCAGTAGCTTGGCGTCCGTCTCATCAGCTGCAACTGCATGAAGCTGAAGGATGTCCAAGCAACTTTAAAGATCAGTACATGAAAAAAAAAGGGTACGGAGACATGAAGCAGAGCCAAGACAAGAACAAGTTGCAGGTGAAAATAGAAGCTTACATGCTTGACAAACTTCTGAACTAGCTTGTCTAATGTGAAGAGAACATATGATTGTGCTCCAATAATAGCTCGGCACTCATCTTCAAACTTTGTATTATCACTCGAGCCGTCGAGTAAATTATAGAGAGCGTCCAGGAACCTGCGCTTCAGTTTATCAGTAAGGAAATGAACTACTGTTTTAATTTAACACTACCAATACTCCTTAAAAAGTTAGAAGATACACCACCTGGTATAAGGATTAGGAGATGTGTTATCTGGATCTGGAGCTTTCCATTTCCTCTCTGAATGTGTCTTTGCAGATTGTATTCTCTCGTACAACATCTGGACAAAAAATATAGTTAGCAGTTTGAAGTTAAGACAATTGACATTTGAAGAACTTGAGAAGTTTGTTTCGTGGTCCTTACTTGATGAAGCCTAAAAAGCACATAAAAGGAATCATTCCCATAGAAAACTCGAGAATCATTCGGGGAGTTACTTTCACTGACTTGTAGTAGTGTCACAGGCACATGCTTTGCAAGAGGCTTTACAGGTTTCAGATACCGTTCTGAAAATGTGAGAAAGGAGCCATCTCCACCCTCATTAGAATTAATCATCCCTACAGCCTCGTTTTCACTCTCAGCAACATTATCAAGCCGGTCACAGTTCATAACTCCTTTATGCTCTTCATCGGAAGAAGCTTGGCCACCAAACTTGCTTCCTGAGGCAATATTCTCCTCTGACAACTTTTGAGTAATTTTATTTTCATCATTTTTAGGGGGAATATGGCTCTTTGCTCCGGCTTCGGTACAGACTGCACCTTCTTTGTTCTCTTGCTCTCTATTACTTCCTACATTGTCTGGCAGTTTCTGAACAGACTCAACGCCATTGTCTTTATGAACCTCAAAGTTGTCTTGCTCAAAACTTTCGGTGGGAGATAATTCACCCTCTTCTCGCTCAACCTTCTGCTCTTCCATTATTACATCACAAACCTTGCTATGATTCTCTAAGCCCTCCATTAACAAATCCTTTCTGGGTGGTGACACCAGTTGGGGAGGCTGGCTATCCTGTAGAACCACAGACATAAGATAGATGAATATCTTTCTCAAGACCCATATTAAAATGAGCTTTGGATTTGTCATGCTTTATAAGACATCTAATTGATGCATAAGGAAAACAACTTCCATTAATATTCCCAACATTTAAATGCGCTCTTTACCACCAGCAATCCGAATTTATGAGAATCTTTGACTAAATTTAGTTGGCTAAAAGTGTATACAAAGACAAAAGAAAGGAGAGACAACCAAGTTACCTCAATATTCATAGCTGCGCCAACATGCAGTTTATCTTGCTGAATGGTTTCTTGTGCGACAGCTTGTACTGTTGGCTTTTCTTTGGTAGGTTCTGTTGGAGGTGTTAGAAGTTTAAGGTTTGAGACAAGCGAAACGTCACAGGTGTTGTCCTTCACTGCCTCACATGCATCTTGCTGCTCTTGGTTGTCTTTGGACTTTGCAACATCTATCATTACCTCAACAGTTTGAGATCTAGAAGGAACGCCAAACATGGGCTCCAAAAAGGTTACCCACAGCTTCATTACTTTATCCGACTGTTCAGTAGCACATATTTCTTCGCAGTAATACTTGATCAGTTGATAGAGGTCAGTATGAACTTGTATATCGGAATAACTGAACTCCAAGTCTAGGGTGAAAGAGGGCTTAGTTCCGACAGCAATGGCATGAAGCGGGTCTTCTTTATGCTTTTTATCACTGATATCTTTTATTTCTGCCACTAAACCTGAATTTGGTACATAACAGACAAGTTTACTCATTTGAAAGTTTGCACATAAAATGAGGCTTTTATTTAAAGCATTCTTATATAAAGCTTCAAGTGCACCCAAACAAAATCAACAGATCTACACAAATCTCATTTAGCTAAGTAATTTAAGCTAAACAAACTTAGTTTGGAGTGAAAAAACATACCTTTTGTGCTCAGATTCTTGGAGTCCTGCTGCTTGAAATAAAAGCTACGGTGATCTAGTGATTTGTGATGATTCTTAGCATATACATCAGCCCATACTTTCCTGAAATCAAAGCGACACCTAGCCCATTCTTCTTGTTTCTGCTTCAAGCGAGTTAGTATCACCGGTAAGGCGATATGAGAATTCTTCTTCAAAATATCCATGACATCAAGCCCACAATCCCCGTACAGCCGTTCAATGCATCTTAGGTTCAGCTCTATTAAATCGTCAAATATGTAGGGCATTAGTTCAGGGAAGGGAATAATAGGACATACATAGGCACAACCAGATAGGATCAAATAACTACTTGCCTGATAAATGTTCTTTGATACAAATTGGTGTAGACACTGTGTTGTTGTTGATCTTCTCCAGAAGAGTTTCCACACGCTTAATGGCTGCATTCACAGACTCTAGTAACATGTCCAACTCAAACCTGAGAACATATCAGGAAATTAACAAATCAGATAGAAGTTGAATTAATTTAGGAATTCTATATATCCACACAAATTTCAAACAACTTGGTGAAATGAGAAGGGAAGACTAAATCAAATAATAAAACAAGCACCAATGTTACTGGAGGATTCCTAATCGAGATACTGAAAGAAATACATAAACCTAACATACTATATACGTCACTCTTACCTGTCATCTTCACACCGAAACAAGCTTTCTTCATACTGGTTTTTACGCATGTGTTTGAACGAGTAATCCTCGCTACCCGATGTGACAGATACCCAGTGATCATTAAGGACCTTCTCACCTAGTGGATTTCTGTAGCTTGAAGTAGGAATGGGATACTACACAGGAGAAAGTAGACCATATGATCAAAGAGTACAAAATGCTGCATCAAACTGAGTATTGTGAATAAAATTATCTAAGGTTTCGGAAGCACTCACATCATCTGGTAGGTGACGATAACTTGGTGTACACTGTACACAGTCAGTAAGATCCAGTTCATTTATACCCTTGATCATATTATTTTTTTGGCTTCCGTTTCCAAAGACTGCATTTTCATGACCAACCTCGTTGTCTTCTACCTGCCGGTATCCCGGCCATTGCCCTTGATTAAGGGATTCTGCCAATATTGACATAACATCACCAGATAATTTACTCATCAATCTCACAAATCTAGACATCTTTCCCTTTTTATGAAAATCACTAAAAACGCGAAGAAACATAAATAACAAACAGCACAAGTAATCCAAATACTCACTTCCCCGAGAATTACCAGCAGCCAGAAGATTCTCATCACCATCTTCACGTTGATCAGAGTGAGAGGTATTCTCATCAGGCCTACTCTCAATTCTTATTTTCTGCGACATGTAAAAGCCCGTATCAACATCTCAGTCAAACTCTGAAACATCACGATTCTCAAAACACACATTTGATCTCATCAATTTGCTACAAAATGTGTCTTAAATCCTATCTAGCATTTAGTTTATCACTCTTACCACAATTTGGGAAAGGATGTTAATACTTCCCAAACTAACCATTTATGGCAGTAATACAGGCTTTCTACCACAAACATCATTTAGAAAGATGAATAAGAGGAAACCTTGTCAAAATGCATGGAAGGTACTGCATTCCTTCCGGAAAGAGGGTATTGAGCAGAACCTGATCCTGACTTATTAGGTAAGAAATTAACAAACTCAGCAAGCAGATCTGCATGGCTCTGGAACAGCAGGGTAACCTGTACAACAGATGATACAGCTATTTAACAAGAAACCGGGCTTTATCAGATAAAACGCATAAACTGTAAACATACCTCTTGATAGACAGAGGAGATGGACTTGCCATCATTTTTATACGTGTTCAAGATGTCCAGAAATCTTTTATACGCACGTTGATCATTCCCAAACCGCGCCTGCAGCAGAAATAAATCTCAACTAAGGTTAACTGTTTTGGATAACTAAAAAAATCAGAGATACATACCTTAATCTTGTTGACAAAGTGGATAGCTTCTCCGTAAGCCACATGCTTCTTCTGAGGAGGGGTTATTCTGTAATCCTTGGGCAAGAAGGTATTAAAACCTAAAAGCAAGTCGTCATAGCCGTTGAACAACTCTTTTACTCTTGCTATGACGGCACTAGTGTCAACTCTACAAACCAACAAGAGATTAAATACACTTCCTAATTCCTATTGTAGAAGAGACAAGGTAGAGAAGGGTATATTAATTTACCTCTGAGCTTTAAACTCCTTCATGAGTGCAAGGAAAGAGTCATACTTGTCTTTCTTGTCTTGGAACATTTCCTTGACAGCTTTGAGATAGGTCAAGGCATCATCCGTTGTTAGCCCTCCCATGTTTCTTCCTCCACCTATCGTTAAAGGCCTACCATTTCTGCATTACACCAATCATAAATTAACTTACTTTCCCCCTTCAAATGCAGTATTTTGGTTTTAACTACAGCAACAACGAAAACTAATATCCACACCAAAAAAAAAACAGCAAATTGATTAAATGATGATATATTATCCGCCTGTCGAATTTGAAAAAGAAGACAAAACCAGAGATTAAGAAAAAAAGAGCTTACGTTTCTCCATGAGAGGGAGCAGTATGTCCTCGTGTCTGAGCTTCAACGTAAACCTCTTCTCTAACCCTCTTCATTTTGATGTTTCAACTTTTGCAATAATAACAAACACTTCACTACCCTGAAACCAAACCAATCAAAATTTGACAAGAAACACATTCAAAAATCAGAAACCAGATCTATCGAACAGCAATCAACGATGAGATAAGGAGATTCTTCGATATTTCAAACCTTGAAGAGACAGGATCACATCCACTTCTAGGTTCCTTCCGCCGAAGAAGATAAAACGTAGAGTGGATCGGCGGCGGGAGTTTGCCGGAGAAAAGGGGTACGAATCTTTACAAGAAAGCGAACAAAGAAGGTTGCTTAAGGATTTGGATCTCTCCCTCTCTCTCTCTGAGATACAAATACTTTTCGGGGAAGCGAAAGAGGTTACCCGCAAATTAAAAATCAAAGGCTGAAAAGCTCGAGCGAGCAAGAGAGGGAAAGAGAAGGAGCCTGTGAATGTTTATGTATGTATATGCGGAGAGGTAATGATCAAGTGTGGTTTGTATCTTGCATGTACTTCTGTATTTAAAGTTTCCAACCTTCTATGAGATCATATATAATCTAGTTACAATGTATTTTTGCAATTAATAGATTTTAATGGTCATAAAATATTTTTGCAATACATAAAAAATAATCTTTCTTTATTTGAAAAAAAAATTGTCAACAAAAAATGATTTTTGCAATAAAAAGAAAATCCTATTTCTTTAAAAGTTGTAAACACTTGTCAAGAATCATAATTTTTATACATTTTATTATTACCAGACTCTTATAGAAAGTGAATATTTACACAATACTCTTATGTAAAATAAACATATGCATATATATTAAAGGTAATAAATTATTTTGCAATGAAATAAAATCATATTTCTTTAATGTGTTTTTTTCTGTAAAGTTGTCAAAAGAAAATTAATAATATTTTTTTCTAAAATACCTTGTTATCACCATACTCTCATAGAAAACTTCGTATTTTCAAAATATTCTTATGAAAAATAAAAATAATCTCTATCTCATACTTGTATTATTCTTAATACAATTTTCTTTATATTAAATAAATTATTTTGTGTTTAACAAGGGATATTTTTACTGAAGATTAATGTAACATATTTTCATTATGGTCAAAATAAAAATGATTTCTACAGTAGTCCCGTCAAAGTATTGTCTATTTTGCTAAAGTTCATGAAAATGTAAGGAAATTTGGCTTGTGATATATGAATCACCCAATCTATATTATAAAAAAGTTGAAGCTATAAACCATTGAGAGTGTCCACATAAGATTTGAAATCTCCCATCATAATATGACAAGTCAATTTTTTAAATTAATATTTTTAAAATATCAGTACTTTCTAGAGGTGTTCAATCTGGTAAAACCAAACCATTTAGAACCGAACCAAAATAGAGAAATTGGTTTGGATTTGTAAAACCGATGATACCGAATGTATGTTGTTTTTGAGAAACCGCGGTATATGGATATGGTTGGTTAAACCGATTAAACCGATAAACTAAAATATAGTATTCAGTTATATGTAAATCAAATGATATCATTGATAATATATACATAATTTATCTTATTGATATGTTCTTTATATTTAAAATGTTAACTTTAGTAATTTATTAGCTTGATCTAAGTTTGAATTTATTTTATTAAATTAAATAAAACATAACTTTTAAATACTGTGCTAATATTTAGTTATTTGATAATATTGTTGTATTACTAAATTTTCTTAATTTTTAGTTTATAAAAATTATTATTATTATTAACGTATTATGTTTACTAATTATTTTAAATAGTATAATAAAGTGGAATTTTTTATGTTTTAAAACTGAAATATATTTATATTTTAATATAGACGATATCTAATCATATTAAGTAATATTTTAAAATATTATTAAATATAAATATACTTATGCATTTTGGTATAAAATTGAATAAACCAAAAACCGATGGTATATAAACCGAACCAAACCAAAGTATATATGGTTTTAATATGGTAGCTATTTTTTATTAACCGAATACCAAAAAACCAAAAAAAACTGAATCGAAACCAAATCGAAATCCAGATTGACACCCATTTTCAAAAACAAAATTGTTAATTTCATAATAAAATAGAAATAATATCAAATAAGGTAAACTACAAAATTAAAAACATTATACATATATTAACTTAATATACATAATAAGGTTTCAATTTTTTTTTTTAAATACAAGACTTTCAAACAATTATAGATTGATATATAAATTTAAAAAACATAATTTTAATATATAGATTATATGCAACTGAAAATATTCACAAATAACATATACTATATATAAGTTGATGTCATGAATTGTTCATGATTTTCACATTATTTTAAATCTCCAAAAACATGAAAATCATTTTTTAATTTGCTATTTCTGAAAGTATAAATATTGCTAAAAACTGTTCATTTCATAGTAAAACATAAAGTAATATAAAAATTAAACCTAAAAGGTTATGGAAAAAAAAATATCTATATATATATATATATATATATATATATCACATTAATGTGAAACTGATTTTTAAAAATCAACATAAAAATAACTAACAAATATAATTATTAAATGAAAAATTAGAAGACTTTCACACAAATAAAATAAAAAATCAATATCAAATAAGGAGAGTTAACAAAAGTAAACATTATATATAAATTAACTTAATAAATATATTATTTTCGACATTTAACATAAACTAAAAGAAACTGCAAAACTTAGAAACAAATATTTTAGATTATTATTTTCAAAAATGTCAATATTAAGCAAAATTATTTATTTCAAAATAAAATATAAAATCAATATACAAAGTCAAACTTACAAAATTAAAAAAATTATACATAAGCTACTTAATGTTTGATTTTTGAAAAGTAACATAAAATAACTAATAGCGATCATTTGAACAAAAATTGAAAGCATTTCAAAAAAATAAAATAGAGATTAATATCAAATAACGTAAATTAACAAAATTAAAATATTATGTATAAATCAACTTAATATGTCTAACATTTTATAAATTTAATTTAAATTTAAATTTGAAGCACTTATTACTATATAAATTTAAAACATGTGATTTTCAAATATTTAGTTATATGCTATTTAAAATACTGACAAATAACAATATGATATATAAGTTTACGTTATAAATTATTAAGAATGTCCACATATAATTCTAAAGCACCAAAACTAAGCCAAAGCATTTTTATTTTCTATTTCTTAAAATATCAATATTACCAAAAATATTTTTTTTTTCAAAATAAAATAGAAATCAATATAAGAAATAAAACTTGAAAGGTACAAACATCCCCTAAACATTATTTGTGAAGTGATTTGCATATAGGTCATCACCATATTCATTCTCAACAAAACAAAGAGGACAAATCTTTTAAAAACTATGACATGGCATCAACATAATTTTAATATATACACTTTTCTTTATTAAAATTTCTATTTTTGGGAAAGCTTTTTTTAATTGGCAATGGCTAATAATTGTTATATCGTCATTAAATTAAAATTTTTATATAAATATTTATTTAGCAAAACTTTTGAAATATATTATTAATAACTAATAATTCATATATCATCAGTAAAATAAAATAAAAATATATATCACATTAATAAAAATAAACTATATATATTTACAAATACTTACATCAACTTATATATCATATTTTAAAAAATTTATATATCATCAAAATTAAAAAAAAAATAGAGCAATACTAATCAAATAATTGTT